TAGTTTCTTTACTATTCAATTTAGTTAATTTTTTAGTAGGTTAATATATATTAAACTACAATTAACACTAGTTTAATAAAGAGACTGTTTTGCTCATTGTTAGTTTATGAGACCCAATTCATTAAGTAACAATAAAAAATTAAAATAATGCTTTAGATTGAGCTCTTACGCCTTAACATTAGTTCACTTTCATTAGGTAAATAATTTTTACATTTTTAATAAAAGACACAGGCACATGAGACACGGACCAGAGACACACGAGACACAGATGTGAGAGACAGACACACGAGACGCAGATGTGAGAGAAAGACACACATGAGACAGATGTGAGAGAAAGACACACGAGACACAGATGTGAGAGACAGACACACGAGACGCAGATGTGAGAGACAGACACATGAGACACGGACCAGAGACACATGAGACACAGATGTGAGAGAAAGACACATGAGACACAGATGTGAGAAAAAGACACATGAGAGACAGATGTGAGAGACAGACACATGAGACACAGATGTGAGAAAAAGACACGAGAGACAGATGTGAGACACACATGAGACAGATGTGAGAGACAGACACATGAGACACGGACCAGAGACACATGAGACACAGATGTGAAAGAAAGACACATGAGACACAGATGTGAGAGACAGACACATGAGACACAGATGTGAGAGACAGACACATGAGACACGGACCAGAGACACAGATGTGAGAGACAGACACATGAGACACGGACCAGAGACACATGAGACACAGATGTGAGAGACAGACATGAGACACGGACCAGAGAGACACATGAGACACAGATGTGAGAAAAAGACACATGAAACACAGATGTGAGAGAAAGACATGAGACATGGACCAGAAACACAGATGTGAGAGAAAGACATGAGACATGGACCAGAGAGACACATGAGACAGATGAGCATCACACCACATCCATCAGGTGCAGGAACATAAACAAAACACTAAACGTTTGACTTCTGTGTGAACATCCTGCTGGGGCTGGTTGCATAGAAGGTTTAGACTAGTCTTACAAGTTAGTCATCTAATTTTTTCTTTAAGTCTGGTCATATCCTTTAGCGATACATATAGACTCCAACTGAATGTTTATATTTTTCTTCCAGTATATTATCGAGCCCGTTACAGTATTTTCTCTGCTGTCTCCGTTCTCTTCTTTTCGTCAGTATTCAGCATGTGCTTGTGTTAACGTCCTGTTTACAGACTTTGTAATATTTCCACACAAATTACATTTTAAAATGACTGCAGAGCAGATATTTGTTTATCCAAAAGAAAACATCTGGGAGATTCTCTTACTTTCTGTATTTGGCGCGCAGTAACTCTGTGCTTGTGCAGCGTCACAAACTGCGCAGACTCAGATCACTGCTGCCGCTGCGTTTTGTTTACCAATATAAGACGCAATTATTTATTAATAAAAAATAATTTAATTACAGTTGTTATAAAGTCAAGTCATGAAGATCAAGTCAAGTCTCAAGTCACTGGATCCTGTCTATAAGCCACTCTTGCTGTGTGCTTAGGGTCACTGTCCTGTTGGAAGGTGAGCCTTCTGTCCAGTCTGAGGTCCTGAATGCTCTGGACTGGGTTTTCACTAAAGCTACCTCAATATTTTGGTGCATTGAGCTTTTCTTCTACTCTGACGAGTCCCTTGGTCCCTGCCGCTGAAAAACAGCTCCACAGCATGAGGCTGCTAGCAGCACACTTTACTTTTGGGATGGTACTCTGCAGGTGATGAGCAGAGCTGGTTTCCTTCAAACATGATG